CGCCGCGCCCCGGCGGGTGACCCCCGGCCGGTGACCCCCCGCCGCCCCCGGGGCCCGGGAGCCGTCGGGGCCGCGGCGTCCGCCCCGCGGGGATGCCTCTGCGCCTCCCGCCCCCGGTGGCCCCTCCGTGGGAGCTCCCCGCAGCCGAGGTCAGGGGAAGGCCTGGCGGCCGCCCGCGCCCCGCGGGGCTACCCGGGGCTGCGCTGCCTTTGTCGGCGCCCCACGGGGGCGTTCTGGGGAGGAAGACTGGAGACCCCTGAAAGGTAGCGTTGATTGCCAGTCACGGCCCCCGGCTGAATACCCGCTGGGCTAAACTCGGCTCTCAGGGTGCTCCTATTTGGCCCCTGGAAATGCCTAGAAAAATAGGTGGCTCCAAATTATTCCAGAGCAATTTGGAGAGGCCGCAAAAGAAAATACACCTGAATTGGCTCTGTGTAAGACAGCTGGGGTCCAATTAGGCTTAGCAGCAGAGATATGCACTGCCTGAGCAGAATTACTGCAATTACAGACGAAGGTCCAAGCGTGACAGAAGGCTCGTGTCTGATCCTGTTTGGGTCCCACAAGGAGCACTACTGAATCAGAGATAGTTAATCTTGGTGGACTCAAGCTTCATGCCATGAATTTAAGGCTGTCAATGCAGTGCTTCTTGTCACGGTATACCAGACATTTTCTACTATAAGGCAGCGTGATTCCCCTATTACTTTGGAAACTGGACGGTAGATTGCACAGTCACCTTGTTATCCAGCAACATGCAGAAGTGATCAAGCTTAAATGCGGAATATGATGCCAAACGAAGTATGCGGTACTGGAGAAGCACTGTTCTCTCTGACATAATGTTTCAAGCACACTTAATTTATTGTTTCCATTAGAAAAGTATCTAGTAATCTGAAAATGGATCTAAAACCTATTGTTCTAGATATTACGTTTGACACATAATAAAAAGAAAGCACATGCCCTGCAAAGCTTGTAGGGAGAGCAGATGAAACGTGTTGTAGGGATACCCGTTGAGAGGGTTGTGCAGGTTTTCTCAGGTCTCATAAATGTGTTGCACCAGCACAAACAAACCTGCCGGAGCACTTTCTAAAAGCCAGCACACAAACAGACAGGTCCAAACAAAAACGCTGAAGCTTTAACCTACCTTAAACTCTTTCCCTGCTTCTAACAAGCCCTCTTGGTTCTGGACGACCTCTCGGTTCTCCACTGAGGCGAGGACCACAGCTCACAGAAACACAGCATCTCTCCTGACCAAGCCAAGGGCAGAAGCAGCAGCACACACAAAGGTGATGGGTTTCCTCACAAGCAGACACATGCACGCACGGTGCACCGCCTCTCCGTGCTACCTGTCTCGTCTTGTTTTAGCCGCTTCTAATGAGCAGGCAGGGTACTGGAGCATGCACAAATCTTGCTTTTTGAAGCACCCTGAAAGCAGGCTCATATTTTTCATTACCTGGGTGGCCCAGAAGAACTTTTCAGGGAGCAAGAACCAAACAGATAGTAAAATAGGCACATTTGTGGGTGAACCTCAGTTTCATGCTTCTTGGGCTTCTCTGTGACCTACAAGAACCAAGAAACACCAGAAGATGGAACTGAAACTGCCTCTGACTTGCTCATTCTTCACTGCCAGATCACATCAGGATATAAGATACCTGAGGACTATTTGTTTGCAGACTGCTGGAAGCAGAGACATAATCACCTATTGGTGAGTCATAACCACACAATCGCATAGGGGTGATGATGCAAACCTGCAAAGGCACAGAGAGTGATATTAACTTAAAGGTGTCTTCTTCCTCTTTCTATTTTTTGATAAAAAAGCAAAATATTGGGACAAGATCCTCAGTTTTGGGAAAGCAATGTAACTCCATTGCTTTTGTCAGAGCACAGATTTACATTTGCTGAGGTTATAGCCCATTCTGTATGTAAAATATTGTTCTGCCTGAGCAGATTCTTCCTTCCTTTCTCTAAACTTGAGTTTAATTCTTGAAAAGTGTCCGGCTTGTCTGAAGCCTCTGGAAGACAGAACCCTCTTTTTTAAACGTGGGATGTGCAGTGCCACAGCAACAGCAGTGCAAATGCCACCGCAAGGAGTTAGTTCAGCCTACTAACACTACTCTGCTAACTCAACCCATGTTGTGACTTCAGCTGGAGTGGCAACAAACTCCTCCAGCTGCCCCGCCAGGCAGCAGTGTTCTATGGTGAGCCTCAAGGCAGGCAAAGAGAAATGTGCAGCTCTCTAGAAATCCTGCAGTGCTCTTAACTGCTGTAAGCCTTGTTTGACAGGAGAGGAAGGCTAATCAAATACTGGCTCTACTGGCATGTGAAGCAATAAAAAGGAAAGGGAGAGTATCTTAGAAGGTCCTTACTGCCACAGTGAAACTGCAAAAACCAGATCTGCAGTGGGGTTGAAAAGCAGTTCCATCATTCCCATGCCTTCAATTTTTCCTGATTTTCTTCCCCAAACTATATGTAAATTGCAGGTGGGAGGCCAGAACTCATAGACATGCTTATCCCATCATGACTTTTTGTACCAACACTAAATTCAGTGTGTGAAGTACGTCACTAATTTTTGTAGGTGCTGTGACCCAAAAAATAACTTCCTGATATTGCATCCCCTCTCTGACTTCTGCAAGAGGGAAATCACAGACAAGACATAAGGTTAGGAGTCCACTCTGTGACATACAGACTTATGCCAAAAGCTTAGTAAGCAACTGAACTTGCTCATCAGCTACAGGTCAAGGCTATCACTGACATATTTGAAATTATAGTCTTTTTTGGAGTGATTTCTAGTAGAAACACTCAGACAATGGCCAACTTGAAGTATTCTTTCTTTTTCCCTAAAAAAACCCCTAAAAAGAACATGAAAAGTTCTTGTGATCATCAAAATCATCAGCAAAGTAAGTAACAGTAATCTTCTAGCTTCGCAAGGATACACACTTGAATACATAGAGATATGCATCATATATTTTTTATATACTGAAGGGTATATCAGTTCTCAGCAGACACAGAGGGTAGATTAGTGGTATCAGTTGCTTTTGTTGTTCTTAATCTCCTGTTGCTTCACCATATTTACCAGTTCCCCTGACTTTTAATCATGCAGATTCTTTCTGTTTGGTTTTTTTTTTTAACTCTCCCTAGTCCATTTTCCTGGATCCACAACTTTTTCTGTGTAACTGAAACTTTCTTGAAAAGTGTTTGCAAGGAAGACTCTATCATTGTGATCTCTTTAACAGTATCTCTGAGAGTGTACTGAGGAAAGCAGAGACCCCTGGGAGTTTTGCTTTCCCACTGTACCATATTCTTCATGAGTTTTTAGTTTAGTCCTTCTGCTGATACACTAGACCCAAGAAACCTTCAAGTCCTTTTCTCATACTGGGTTGTTTTCCTTGCATATCTCTCCCTGAGCTTAGAGGATGAGTAGTGTTATGGCAAGAAGCAAACTAATATGCAATCAACTTTTAAAATTTGTATTTTTCTAGGGAACGCAAATTGTTTCCTTCTGGTGTCTCACAGAGTAACCCAAACAATCTGCCATGGCAAGCAGCTTATGAAACAGAAAAAAAATTATCATCACAAGGTGCTCTGCTGCTGTAACAAGGAAAGAAGCTGAGACCTTTTCCATTTTGTTCACTGCATCATCTAAGTAGCAGAATCTGTCAGTAGAAGTTTGTGTTAGATTCAGTGCAAGTGAGCCGTCTCGTGGGCCTATCTGATACTTGGATCACAACTGAAGTGCAGTCAGAAGGAAAGAAAGAAGTGTTCATAAGAATTGAAACAAGTCTGGATTCTCAGAAACACAAAGCCAAATCCATTTCCGCAGCAAGCTGATGCAACTCTGAAGATGCTGGGAAGGGGTGAACCAATTCTGAAATTAATTTGGCTTGCATTCTCTGACAATCTCCATTCTTCCCCCCTCCTCCTTTCTTTATTTTTTTTAAGGTGGAATAAATCTCTGCAGATCAGTGAGTATTTTGGAGTTACCTGGGACAGAGGATGGAATAGGCTTGCAAAGTCTGGCTTCAAACCCATGCTTTTTAGAGGGCTGCTCCTGGGAGGGGCAGTCTCATTGCTACACATTTTACTTGGGTTAGTGAGTGAATTTAGAAATGGCAAAGGGAATCAGCTAAGGGCAGAGAGGGGAAACACTCATATTACCACTGTGGGAGAAAATCAAACCTGAGCTTTGTTGGCTCAGAGGAGGACAATTTTGAAAACTCTTCTATGCGCAAATAGTCACAGAATCCAGTGAACTAGTGCTGGATTCCTGGGCTGAAGATTGACTCATTTGTAGATCCAGAGTGGGTCTCGGGTATACAGAAGATGTTTGCCTTGCTCCTGAGCTAGGAAGGATGTCTTCTGTGGGATAGTCTTGAAAAGTGAAGGAAAAACTGAAAGTTTCTTAATCCCTAGACTACTGATATGAACCACAAGTAACACAGCTCCGACTGTGTGATGGAATGAAGTATATGCTCCCTATTCTATTTTAAAAACACTCTCTCCCAGTTGAAGTTTATGCTGTTGATGTAGTATAGGGCTTGAGAAACAGTGGCCAGCCTTCTGAGCTGCCTGGGGGCTTAGCTGAATTCACACG